CATGCCCTCCTCACGGCCACTGTGGCCTCTGCAGAGGTGAGGGGACCTGCCTGTGGCTGCCCAGCTCACCCACACGATGGAGTCCAGCAGGAACTGGGCTTTTCTGTCTCCAAAACCTGTTGGAGTCTTTCCGCAGGGCCCATGGTCTCCTAGACCGCACCACTTGGAGAGGGGCCCCCGCCAGTGTCACTGATTAAGGCTGGCAGGCACTGAACTGTGTCCTCCCACAATTCAGATATTAAAGTCCTGACCCCCAGAACCTCAGAGTGTAGCTGTACTGTAGCTGGAGACAGGGTCTTTAAAGAGGAAATAAAATTAAAGAAGTCGTTAGAGTGGGCCCTAATCCAGTATGGCTGCCGTAAGAAGAGGCTACTAGGACGCAGACACAGAGAGAGAACGCTGAGAGAACACAGTTAGAACGTAGCCACCTACAAGCCATGCCTCCGCGAGACTCAGAGGAAAATGGCCCTGTCCACACCTTGATCTTGGACTTGTAGCTCACAGCATTGTGAGAAAATTTTCACAATTCTTTCTGAGCCACCCCATCTGTGGAACTTTGTCATGGCAGCCTCGCAGATGACGACAACGGCTTTGCTGCTAACAGCCCAGAGCCCTGTTTCCTGCACCTAAGGGATGGGACTCCCTCGTCTCCTCTGCCCAAGCCCAGCCCTGTTCTCCCAGCTGGCACACACCAAGGTGCAGGGCCGGTGCTGGGATGGGGAGGCAGACATGGAGGGGCTCCCTCGTGCCCATATGGCCCAGGTTCGTGCGGACAGCAGGAGGCGGGTGTAAGGGGCCACTCTTTGGCAGACAGAGGGGACAGGCTCTTTAATATGTTGAAGACAACTTGGGAGGTGCCTGCTCAGCCCACAGCCACACCCAGGCTGGGCCAGACAGCAGAGGTATTTGCATGATATGACCTGGGTGGTCAGACCAGGCATGGACATCTTGACACAGGGTGGTGATCAGAGTCCCCCAGAGATGTGGCCCTGGGGAACAGCCCTTCAACCTCTGCCAGCAGTCTGAGCAGAAGATGAGTAACCAGGCACGACAGTGGGGCAGCCCAGCGCACAGAGAGGCAGAGGCGGGCTGGGCTGGGGGAAGATGTGGAGAGAGGTGGGGGCAGGGCCAAGACCATGTGGCCAGAGGCAGCCTTGCCCTCTGGTTCTCTCTTGGGCCCTGCCTCTGCACAGCCCCCAGGCAGGGGCAGGCTGGGGGCGCCCATGTGGACAACCCTTAGGGCAGGTGTTCTTAACCTTTTCCATAGAAATTCCCCAGCTGATAGAAGAAGTGAACATAAATCCAAGCTGGGGGAATATTCCAAGGTGGTCTTTGACATTGTCACAAGGTTTGTGGTTCATCTAAAAAACTCACAATTTAGAAATGGAATTCTTGCTATTTAGGGATATTTTTCATATGCTCCAGAAGTGCTCCTCCTTCTCCAGGGTTGGGCCAAAGTATTGCATCCAGAAGGCCCCCAAGGCTGCCCCTGAGTCACCCAGTGTCTGTCCTGCATGGGCCTGTCAGTGTCAGTCCTGGTGGCTGCGGTGAGGTTGTGTCTCCAGGCCTGGTCACCACCCAGCCACCCTTGCGGTGTCCGGCAATGTGCAGGTGGCCTCTCTAACCCCTGATCTCTGCCCTCCCCATCTCCCATCCCAACCCCCTCATTCAGAGACACTGAGCGTCACCTCTCAGGAGCGTCAGTCTTGGCACAAGAGGGAAGAGAGGTTGACTTCAGGCCACAGTTCCCCACTGTGTCCTAGTCTGGGCTGCTATAAACAAACTACCGGAACCTGGGTAGCTTATGAACAACGGGAATTTATTTCTGACACTTCTGGCAGCTGGAAAATCCATGATCAAGGCAGAAATGTGCATTCTTGTAGCTCTGATCTAAAATAAGGAATCAAAATTTCTCACCATATTTCCTTGTACATTTCTGTTTCCGGAAGCTCTGATATGAGACTTGTTTTCTAAAAGTATCCTGCTCCCCCCAAGGATGGACAGAGGGACAAAAGGCAGCCCACCTGCAAGTCAGGCGTGACTGAAGGCTGTGCCCCTCTTCCCTCTTCACTGGGGTGAGGAATCCCCTGACTGATGCCAAACCAGAGGGACCAGTTCAGCTGGAATGCAGGAGGCAGGGAGAGAGGAGCCCAAAGGGGAGAGCCACCGGAATTCCCTCTTCTTGGGGCCTCCTGTCACTGTTCACCACAGAGAGTCTGGAATGGTCTCCATGGGTGGCAGCGTGGAGGGGTCCTCCCCTCTAATGTCTCCAATCTCACCTTCTTAAGCTACAACATCCCCCCTTGAAGGATGAGGAAGAAGGAGGGGCCCAAGCTCTGGTTCCTATTGGCTAAAACACAAGGGCTCTTAAGCCTCATTAATAAACAGATATAGGGCTATGCATAGTGGCTCATGTCTATAATCCCAACACAGGGAGGCCAAGGTGGGAGGGTTGCTTGAGGCTAGGAGTTCAAGTCTAGCCTGGGCAACATAGCGAGACCCCATCTCTACAAAAAAAAAAAATAGAAAAAAAAAATTAGTCAAGCATGGTAGCACACACCTGTAGTCCCAGCTACTCGGGAGGCTGAGGCAGGAGGATCACTTGAGCCAGAGTTCGAGGCTACAGTGAGCTATGATGATGCCACTGCACTCCAGCCTGGGTAACAGAGCAAGACCCTGCTGCTAAAACAGTGAAATAAAAAATAAACAGATGTGTTGATTTTAGCCAAGATCGCATTAAGCTCCTTACAGAATGGCACATCTATTTTGCCCTGTGGGGTTCAGAGAGGCAGAGATGGGCACCCACCATCTCCACGCTTACCCGCGGATGACGCAGGAGTGCAGACCAGCTTCGGAAAGGTGGGCTTGAGCCTCTCAGGCCAGGAACAGAGCTGTCACCAGTCACGGACAGTCCAAATGTTCCAGCTGTGAGGAAAAGATGAAGTCTCTGCCCACAGTCTCTGGTATTTTAACCCACTGCTGCCCAGTGAAAGGTCTCACAGGCTTGTCTTGGTGTCATGAGCACCATGAACATTCACTCCTGAGTCGTGAAAGGACCAGCGTCCCCGCCACCTCCGTAGCTGCCTGAGGCTCCCTGGGCACAACTGTGCGCGACTGTCGGCGTCAGGCAGCTGGGCCAGCGCTGTGGAGAACCAGTGGGGCTGCCCCTGCCACCCACACCTGCAGGGGCCTGCGACCAGCCTCTCCGGACCCTGCCCCAGGGGGCTGCACGTGGGACAGCACCTGCCCCCCAGGCGCCAGGCTCCCGTGTCATAAATGGCTCTACCTGTCCAGCAGTCAGGCGTAACTCTGTATTACAGGGCAGAGGCGGACATTCTCTGTGAAACAAGAGCTATGTAGAAACCAAACCAAAATGAAAAAGTGACTGAGCTGGGCCTCACATCCCAGGAAGGCCGTCGGGAAGTGGGGTGTGCAGGGGCACTCGTTCTCTTGAGCCCCCACGGTGGCTCTGGGAGTGAGTCTCCAAATGTGGCAAAACCAAACTGCTGCGTCCTCCCCACCCCAGGGGTAGCAGCGTCCTCTTCCATCCTTCTGATGTCGCTGCAGTGCCTTGTGCCTGGCACCGCGGGCCTGGGACAGCCTCTGGTGACCCACTTGGGAGACGGATGTGCTTTTGGGGACGGCAGAGTCCCAGGAACAGGCCCAATTCCCATCCTGGCAGTGGGCGGGACCCCGCTGTGACCCAAGCTGCGGCAGGACAGGAGGGTGCAGGACAGAGAAGGGGCCAGGATGAGCAGCTCCCTGGGATGAAGGCTTCAAAGGTCAGCGTCATGTGACCTGGAGAGAGCCCCCAAACCATGCCCACACACACACATGCAAGCCTTGGGTCAAGCCTTTTTATTTTCTTCAAACATGAGGGACAGTGTGGTCATCGCTGTCCAACCTAATCTACCAGGGCTGTTTAAAACCCAAAGCTGCTGCACTTTGAACTTGCACTTGCCTGGCAAGCATCCCACTGAAAAGCAGAAGAGATGGGGCTGTGGAGAGCTGTTGATGGTGACATGGATTAGTGACATCTGGGTGACCTTGGCCAAGTTCCCCCAGGGTCCCCTCTTGACATATTCAGGGGTCCCCAGCTGGGTGTCTTGGGCAGTCACACGGCACCGTGTACGCACGCCCATCAGTGACAGGGCTTCTTCTCTGGGGCTCTTGGCTTGCAAGGGAGGTTTACGTGTTCTCCAGTGACATGCAGAGGATTCCTTTGAATCCTCCTGGGCTTGGGGACAGTGTCGGGTATCTGGAAAGAGCAGTCACATTTCCAGAAAGGGCCTTGCCTCCTTCGATGACACATTCAGAATTGGGATATCCAAAAAATGGAAACCAGGAAGGAGGAGTTCAGAGAATGAGAAATTTAAGTATTTCTCTTTGCAAAATCCAGGGAAGGAGACACAGCATTGTATTCATATTTCAATGAATTTGGGGGCTTTTCTCTGGAGAAAATGTGGCTACAAGACCCCATGTGTTTGAGCCCTTGGGACTCGTCCTGCCCAGCATCCACAGGACACCAGGCTGGCTGTCCCAGCAGGGGCAGTATAAACACATCTCACACCAGGAGCAGCCTCCCCAGGGACAAACTGTCTGATCAGCAACAAATTCCAACTCCTGGCTCTCGGCTGGCGGCAGCAGCAGCAGCGGCGCGGAGGGGAAGGCGTCCAGGATGCGGTGCGGGGTGGCAGGAGGGGCGGCCTGAGGGCGGGCGGGTGCCCGGTGCCGGGACTCCGCGCCGCTCCGCCCGGCCCGGCCCCAGTGCCATGAGCGGCGGCGGCGGTGGCGGAGGGGGCTCAGCGCCCAGTCGCTTCGCCCACTACTTTGTCATCTGCGGGCTGGACACTGACACCGGGCTGGAGCCGGGCGAGCTGTCGGATTACCAGAGACTGAGGACGGTGGCAGAGACGGTTACAGCTCTGATGCTTCCTCTCCAGTGGCAGCATGTCTATGTCCCTATTCTCCCGGCTTGTCTCCTGCATTTCTTAGATGCTCCTGTTCCATACCTGATGGGCTTGCATTCCAATGGCCTGGACGACCGTCAAAGCTGGAGCTGCCTCAAGAGGCTAACCTCTGCTTTGTGGACATTGACAACCACATCATCGAGCTGCCAGAGGACTTGCCTCAGTTTCCCAACAAATTGGAGTTTGTCCAGGAAGTCTCAGAGATTCTCATGGCATTTGGCACTCCCCCTGAAGGGAACCTTCACCGCAGTGAGAGTGCCTCCAAGCTGAAGAGGCTTCGGGCCTCGGAGTTTGTCTCTGATAAGAGAAACGGGGATATTGCGGGCTCCCCTTTGCGTTCCTACGAACTCCTTAAGGAGAGTGAAACTATTGCACGACTGCAGGCCTTGGTCAAGAGGACGGGGGTGAGCCTGGAAAAGCTGGAAGTGCGTGATGACCCCAGCAGCAACAAGGATCTCAAAGTTCAGTGTGATGAAGAAGAACTCAGGATTTAAAAGCTAAACATACAGATCCGGGAAGTTTTTGCAAATCATTTCACTCAGATGTTTGCAGATTATGAGGTGTTTGTCATTCAGCCCAGCCAGGATAAGAAATCCTGGTTTACCAACAGGGAGCAGATGCAAAATTTCGATAAAGCATCTTTTCTGTCAGATCAGCCTGAGCCCTATTTGCCCTTCCCCTCGAGATTCCTGGAGACCCAGATGTTTGCATCTTTCATTGACAACAAAATAATGTGCCATAATGGTGATGATAAAGACCCTGTGCTCCGGGTGTTTGATTCCCGAGTAAACAAGATCAGGTTGTTAAATGTTCGGACACCTACTCTCCGCACATCCATGTATCAGAAGTGTAGTACAGTGGATGAAGCAGAGAAAGCAATTGAGTTATGTCTGGCAAAAATTGACCATACCACAGTTCACCCACATTTACTTGACATGAAGATTGGACAAGGGAAGTATGAGCCAGGCTTCTTCCCTAAGCTGCAGTCTGATGTACTTTCCACCGGGTCAGCCAGCAATAAGTGGACAAAAAGGAATGCCCCTGCCCAGTGGAGGCGGAAAGATCGGCAGAAGCAGCACACAGAACACTTGCGTTTAGACAATGACCAGAGAGAGAAGTACATCCAGGAAGCCAGGACTATGGGCAGCACCATCCGCCAGCCTAAACTGTCAAACCTCTCTCCATCAGTGATTGCTCAGACAAATTGGGAGTTTGTAGAGGGCCTGCTGAAGGAATGCCGCAACAAGACCAAGAGGATGCTGGTGGAGAAAATGGGCCGAGAGGCTGTGGAGCTAGCACATGGGGAGGTGGGATGGAAGAGAACACGCTGATTGCCAGCCTTCGTGACCTCCTAGAAAGGATCTGGAGTCATGGGCTACAAGTGCAATAGGGTAAGTCAGCCTTGTGGTCCCACCTGTTACGTTATCAGGAAAACCGTCAGAGAAAACTCACATCAGGAAGCTGCAGTACCTCAGGAATACTTCCTGATTCAGAACGGAGGAAGTCTGATGCCAGCTCAGTCATGCCTCCCCTGAGGATCTCCCTGATTCAGGATATGAGGCACATCCAGAACATCGGAGAAATCAAGACTGATGTGGGAAAGGCCAGAGCATGGGTGCGACTGTCCATGGAAAAAAAGTTACTTTCCAGACACCTGAAGCAGCTTCTCTCAGACCATGAACTCACCAAAAAGCTGCACAAGCGCTGTGCCTTCCCGCGCTGCGATGATGAGAAGGAGCAGTTCCTCTATCACCTCCTCCCTTTCAACGCCGTCGATTACTTTTGCTTCACCAATGTCTTCACAACTATCCTGATCCCATACCACATTCTGATTGTACCAAGCAAGAAGCTGGGGGGCTCCGTGTTCACTGCCAACCCATGGATCTGCATATCAGGAGAACTGGGTGAGACACAGACCCTGCAGATTCCCAGGAACGTGCTGGAGATGACCTTCGAGTGCCAGAACTTGGGGAAGCTCACTACTGTCCAGATGGGCCACGATAACTCTGGGCTGTATGCCAAATGGCTGGTGGAGTATGTGATGGTCAGGAATGAGATCACAGGACACACCTACAAGTTCCCACGTGGCCGGTGGTTGGGGAAGGGCATGGACGATGGAAGCCTGGAGCGGATCCTAGTTGGGGAGCTACTCGCATCCCAGCCCGAGGCGGATGAGAGGCCACGCCGGACCCCGCCGCTGCAGCAGTCCCCCCGCGTCATCCGGAGGCTTGTTACCATCTCGCCCATCAACAAGCCCAAGCTGAACACTGGACAGATCCAGGAATCCATCGGGGAGGCAGGGAATGGCATCGTGAAGCACTTCCGTGAGCCTGAGGAAGAGCGAGGCAGTCTGACGCTGCTGCTTTGTGGAGAGTGCAGTCTTGTTTCTGCCCTGGAACAGACTTTCCAGCATGGATTTAAATCACCCCGGCTCTTCAAAAATGTCTTCATTTGGGATTTCCTGGAAAAAGCACAAACCTATTATGAGACATTGGAGCAGAATGAAGTAGTCCCTGAGGAAAACTGGCATACAAGGGCCCGGAACTTCTGCAGATTTGTCACTGCAATCAATAATACTCCCCGGAACATCGGCAAGGACGGCAAGTTTCAGACGCTGGTGTGCTCGGGAGCCAGAGATCACCTCCTCCACCACTGGATTGCCCTGCTAGCTGACTGCCCCATCACTGCACACATGTATGAGGATGTGGCACTGACCAAAGACCACACACTTGTCAATTCCTTGATCCGCGTGCTACAGACACTGCAGGAGTTCAACATCGCGCCGGAGACGTCCCTTGTCAAGGGCATCGACATCTGACCTCCCAGCACCAGCCGACAGCAGGACTGAGAAAGACTCTCACCCTGCAGCTCTTCCCAAAGGGACTTAAGTGAATTGTGCAGGAGATGGAGAGGATATGTATACTCACTGTAAAAAGAAAACCAGGGGATTTTTGGAATAAATAATCTATTTTAGAGTTTATTTGCTGATTTGCTTTTTACACACTTTCATGTGAAAGAGTGACAGGGAGAGGGAGCGAGGTTGGTGCCGCTTGTTTTGAAGCTGGGGCTCTCCCTCGCCGTGGCCATGTGCTGGAAGCCCACAGCCTCCCCGGACTGAGCCTGCGGCGCCGTGTGCGGGGCAGTTCCACTTCCTCGCCCCTGTTGCATTAATGAGGCCATTCCACGTCGTTTTTGAACTAACATTTTCTATATTAACATTATTATGGATCTTTGGCTTTCATGGGCCACACAGGTGTGCTGAGCGGGAAGCCCCATGCTCCAGCCAAAGGGATTTTTAGTAGTGCCTCTGCGCAGGCGCTGAAGAGTCGGTCCCACATCTTTTCTTTTTTGTCAGTATTATTTGGGAAGGAGACGGGCCGGGACGTGTCATCGTGCTCAAAGTCACATTTCCTGTTGGCACACAGTTGCACAGAAGTAAACATAAGCACGTTTTAACAGGTTTTTCTTTTCTTTTTTCTTTTTTTAAAAATGTTTTATTTATTTAACCCTCCATTGTGTGTTTTAAGTATTTCTTTTTCTTTTCTCTTCTTTTAAGGAAAGGGGAAGCTTGTCACAATCTAACTGGCTATGTTATTGTTAAATTTATGTTGTTTTGCAACTTAGAAACCAGCTACAGTATGGCCCATTTAATAAAACACCTGAAACAAACAACAACAAAAAAATTCCAACTCCTCTCACAGTAAACCAAGACTCAATGTGTATGTCCAGTTTGGCAGACAAAAGCCTGTTAATCGTGGGTGTTTGGCGCCTCAGAGGTCAGGCTATGGGGGTGGGAGGGACAGAAGGGGCCTGCAGGGTGCCCGGGCAGGGGCAGGGCGACAGAGCAGCGACAGCATCCTGGAGGGAGGCCTGGAGCAGCTGGCTGGGAGGTGGCAGCACCTGGACGAGCAGGTGAGGGGGCGGCACTCCCGGCTGGGAGGAAGGCAGATCTTTGAGGCGCAGGGCGCCTGCGCTAGCGGAAGGCACTCCTGGCTGTGTCGAAGGCAGATCCTTGGGCCACAGGGTGCACACTGGGGCTGCATCTGGCAGAAGTTGAGGCACCTCCCCTGTGGGGAAGAGAGGAGAGACAAGCTCACCGAGATGGCATTGCAACTGGGCCTGGAAGGCTGCGGCTGCCTGGCTCCAGCGGTCGGGCTCAGGACCCGTCAGGACCGATGAGGGGGCCTTGCCGGTGCTCCCGCTCCCCGCTGGGTGCTGGCCTCCAGCCTCACTCCTCCTTCCAGACTCAAGATAGGCATTGAATGCCCACGCTGCCTTCCCCAGGCTGCCCTGGGCACAGCGACTCTGGTCGCCTTTGCTCTGGGGTTGACCTTGTCTGGTGTCCCTGGGCTGGCAGCCTGGGGAGCAGGGAGCAGGAGGCCCCGTTCCCTCTGTGGCCCAGCATTGCCCAGAGGCTCTGGCGAGTGTGTGTGGCAGGGGGAGCCTCACCACAGCCCTCAGGCCTGGCTGCAGGGCTTCTGGAAAAGGCTGAGTGGGGGCACCCTGGGGTGGCAGCAGCTCCACGGTTCCCTTGCTTTAGGAAGAGACTGATCCAGACCTCCAGGGACAGCAAACTCTCTCTGCAGATCCAACTGCTTTGCTTTCATCTTGGGCACACACCAGCCACGGTGGCCAGCACACCATCCGGACAGCCCTTCTCTCCATGTCTGTCCATGATATCACTTTCTCTACTGGCTTCTTATGCCCACATGATTAGGGACAAGCCTGTCTGAAGATTTGATTGTGGCCTTTTAGAAAAGCCCTAAGTGTCACTCTAAGTAAGGTCTAAGGGGCTGGGGTCCAATCCTGTCTCTGACCTCAGGAAAGTCACTCAGTCTCTCAGGAATGGTTTTCCCATCTCTAAAATGGGTACAGCAACACCAAACGCTGATCGGTCACCCCTTCCTGCCTTCCTTAATAATGGACACCTGATTTTGATTTTTGGGGAGCAGACAATGTGCTCTCAGGTGTAAAATGACATTTCCCAGTGTGCCCTGCTGAGCAAAGTGTCCCCAGAATAAATGATGGCAAATGGAATATAGATAGGAATTGTTGGCCAGTGCTTTAGAGAGGGCTCCTTTGCATTTTTCCTTGTTCTTGCTGCCTGGAATATGGATGTGATGGCTGGAGTTCCAGAAGCCACCTTGTAAGCCTGAAAAAAATTGAGAGCCTGGCCTGTTCAAGGAGAATTGTTGTGTCCCCCCAAGGCGGCTCTTTAGGGGCTTAGTACGCAGTCGGACAAAAGTCTTTCTCAGCGTGCCCAAGCGTTCTCATTTCCAAGTTCACGTCCCTGGAGTGCCTCTCCTTGTCGTGTCCGCCCAGTGAAGGTGAACCCTGTTCACCTTTTCAGTCTCAGCTCAAGCATGTCATCCTCCCTGAGGCCCAGTAACCCTTATTCCCAGCTAAAGTGACTGCCCTGCCTGGCCACTCCAGTCGTGCTGTGCCCTTGTCACGCTTCTCCTCCAGCCCTGCTCCTGAGTCTGAGGCTCTATCTTTCCTCCTCTGTCCCTGGGGACTGTGCCCTGGCGGCTGGGGTGGCAGAGCTCCTGCATCCTGGCCTGTATGACCTGCAGGGAGTCTAAGGAGAGGCCTGTCACACTGCCCAGGGTCACACTGTCCTGGGGGTCACATGGGCCAGTCCAACCAAGATGGGACACAGACACAAACCAACCTCCTTCAGAATAATTGATAATTTCCTTCTCCTGTGTACTTTGAACACGTTTTGTGGTAGAGGTTAGAGACCATAACATCCTATGCACAGTCTGGGCCTAGGTATGAAAGCTCCCAAATTATACTGGAGGGCTGAGGCCCAATGTGGGAATAATCAGAGTCCTCTAGGAGCCCCTGTCCTTGTTCTGCACACATCAGAGCTGTACCCGCATCACCTCCAGCATCTGCAGCTGTGGGGCTGAAAAGGGCTCCCAGGTTTCCCAGGGGCATGGTACTTTGCCTCGACCTCCCTGTCTATGAAATGGGCCACCATGTCCATGGAGGGGGCTGCAGCCCAGCACTGCCTGAGTTTCCCTGGCCCCGGTGCCTGCTGAGAGCCTTCTCTACTCAAGCCCACTCTCCCCAGGCTGCCGGGATCCCACCGGTGCCCTGTTGGGCCAGTCTGGGCCTGTTGGTCCCCAGGAAACCCTCCAACCCCCCAGGTGCTCCACAGAGGGAGCGGACTTGGGGCTTGCCTGGGCCTGTCACTCATGCACACAGCCTCACCTCGGGCACCTGGAGACAAAGGCCCCAGTGCTGTTTCTCCTACTGCACTCTCTCCATAGACGCTGGCCCTTCCCCTCCAGACCCACCCTGGCGCCTGCCCTCATCTGCCCTGTCCTGGTGGCCCCAGGACGATGCTCACCTTCCCCTTGTGACCCCTCAGACCCTGTCCTGGCCACCTGTGTCTGCAGCAGCCTGGCCACCCTCCACCTGGCCCTCCTGGGCTCCCCCTGCCCCTTCAGGGCTTCAGGCTCCCTTCTTAGGACAGCTCAAGTGTGTGCCCTGGCCTCCCTGGCTCTGCCCACACCAATCCAGTCCTTCCAGAACCATCTTCCCACCCAGCTCACATCCTTCAGAGACGCCCCCACTGCAGACATGATCCAGTCCCTGTGCCCAGCACTTCACTCCTGGACCTTCCCCACCAGGGCTCCAGGGCTGTCCCCACCCTGCGCCCAGGCCCCCACAGCCCCAGCTACTAGAAGACCAGCCATGCCCCACCCTTCCTCTCTCCTCTGCCTTGAGGGCCCTCCTCCTTGCCCCTCCGTTTTGCCTGTCCAAACTCAGCCATCCTGAGCCTGGGTCTCAGCCCTGCTGCTGCCTCTGCCAGGCTGCCTTCCCCCGAGGCTGGGAGGGAACACTCTGGTCCCAAAGCCCCAGTGTTGGGCTCTTTCCCCAGCAGTAAGGCAGACATCCTCTCTCTCTCTCTCCCCCACCCTTCTGGCACAGGGTTGGGGACTCTCTCACCTTACAGGACCTTGACTCTCCCTGCTTCAAGTCACATACCAAGCTCAGGGCTGAGCCCAGAACAAGAGTGACAGAGCGTTCACAGGCATGGCCGAAGGCCTCAGCCTGGAGGCACAGGGATGGCTCCCTCCACCTCTCCTCAGAGCCCAGAACAGGCTCAGCCACACCACCACCATCCCCTCCCGACCACAAGCTGGCCGTCCCCAGAGCCAGGACACACCATCAGGATGTATGGGTCACAGTTCAGGCCTCACTGGGGTGGCTCCGAAAGAGGGACCCAGAAGCTCCCACCTCACACCTCTGACTAAGGCCTAGGGAAGGTCTTCACTGCTGGTCATGCTCTCCTCTGTCCCTTGGGCCTGGTTGCCCATCCCCCTTGCCTCTCTGGGCTGTCCCTGTGGCCGAGGCCAGTCTGCTCAAGCCCTCCTCAGACCCTCTCTGGCACAGTTGGGAGTCATGACGGGAACCCGAAAGGATGATGCCGTGTCCAGAAGAAGGTGGCCCCTTCTCTTCCTCTCACTGCCCACCCCACCTGGACCATCTGTGGCGCTGCTGGGAGAGCTGGCTGTGCTTCTTTCTATGGGAGGAGGAGCTGCCAGTGACAGGGCCCAGGGTGCTCTCCTGACGTCCCAGACAGCCACGTCGCCAGAACTGTCCCCATCAGTCCTGATGGTGGAGTGGGCAACTACTGCCAGGTGTGGGTGACCAGCAGCTGGGCCTGCATTGGATCTGGTGACAGAGTCCCAGGAGCTGCTGGTCATCCGCCTACACAGGGTCACCTGCCATTCCTGCAGCCTCACCATAGTGTGACCTAGCATTCTTTATAACGGCATTTTTTGGATAGTGGAGTTTTATGTTATCCTTTTTCTTTTTGATATGAGAAAGATGATACTTGAAGAGGTTAAGCAACTCAACCTGACTGAGCCACGTTCTTCTGTGGCCACCCTTGAAAATGCCAAAGGGACTTCTCATCCCTCCACAGACACCCCCAAGACACATTCCTGTGCTTCATACACGTCAGATCTGAAGTGCTTCCTCATGTCAGAGAAAAGACCGAAAGTGTATTCGCAGGACCACATCTGACTAGAAGTGATCACTGATTCATTCATTCATTCATTCAACAACAGAGAGCTCTGTGTCTGTGAACCCGGATAAAGGACAACAACTGCTTCTGGAAAGATTACTTCTGTCAACATTCCAACCTGCAGGGCTGACACTCGTGTGTCTCCCACACCGCTCAAGTGTGTGACATAGAGTGTTACTATGAACAGCTCGACTATTGAATTGACAGATACTGTATTTGATTTCCTGCCTCTTGGCTCACCAAGTCCAAGCCACGTCAGGACATTTGCACTGGCTGTTGGAAGGAATTCCCCTAATTTTCTCTCCACTGACTCCTTCTTATCAATTTTTTCTAGGTTTAAATGTCACCCCCACCCTAAGCCCTTCTCCACCAAGGGAGTCTTCTATGGTCAACCAGGCATTTGCTGACCTACCCGTGACGTTTAATTCTCTGGACAGCACTGTCACCATCTGACATTCCCCAGAGAAAATGTAAGCCCTGCTATGACAGGGGGACATTCTCCTTGTAGTTCGTTCTGTGTCTCCAGCATCTGATATAGAATAAATTTTTGCTGAGTTAATGAATATGAATAGTCCATGAATATTTTCCTTTGCTAATTCCTTCTACCGCTTTTATGCTTACCTAGACCTCTATGCTGAAATCAAATATTTACTTGTATTTTACTGCAGTTATCATTAGTAATGCCATACACACACACACACACACACACACACACACACACGCACACACACGCACTTTCTAAACTATTTAGAATTTATTTTAGTGTGTTATGAAATAAGGTGTCAGAATTGGGGTCCAAAATAAAACTCCACGAGGTTGGAAGGGATTCAAGACGGCTGACTAGAGGCATCCAGCACTCACCTCCTCCACATAGAAAAAACAAAACAGCAAGTAGATAATCTCACTTCAAATAGAGCACCTAAGAGAGAATCCTGGAATTCAACAGAGAAATAATGGGAAACACCTGAGACACAGAAGCGGTGGGAAGGCAGTCAGCTCAGCCAGGATTGTCTGGGAACCCAGAGA